AGAACTTTTTATCCTACCCTCGTACACTAAATTTTTCCCCTAGTTTATTATAATGAATTTAGTTGGGAAATCGATCGAAGTTGTTTGTTTTCCTAAAGTCTATATAAGTACGACTCGTCGGTATATATAGGAGAATATGCATCTAATGTAAAACAGCGGGCCAATTTGCACTAAAACAATCCGTTTCTCGAGCTAATGGAAACGAACGTCAGCCGATAAAAAGTCGTCGGGACGCCCCGTTACGACGTCGTTATTGCGTCGAGACCCTTTCGACGATATACCCTCCGACGAGCCGCAAATCTGAGAACAAATAACAGGCGGATAAGACGTATGTAATGGGACGTGTAAAGGTATCGAGTATCGCCTGTTTAGGGCCAATATTTCCCGCGCGGAAAATCCTCCAATCTGCATTTGCGTCTCTAACTTCTTCTACTCTCGTTCGTATCCGCCCGTATAGGTGTATATGCGGCGTGAGCCTCTAGTTTTTTTTTTTTTGTTTTTTATTCGAACAGGGTTGCCGAATTTCGATTATTTTACGGTAAAATTGCAGAGTTATTCGGCGTATCTGCAACCCTGTATGCAGGATGTTTCGTAATGACGTGGTAATATTTAAGGGGGTGATTCTAGGACTCGTTTTAAGAAAAAAACTTCATATGAACAAATGTACTAAACCAAAAATTTGTTATTGTAGTGTACAAATGAATGCATTTATTTTTTTTAATGCGAAACGGTGAGTCGTACGGAAAAATATCAAGAAATCAAATTTGTTCTAAATTGAATGGGGATTCGGAAAATAATTTTTATTTCAATATTAGGCAGTGGCGTACCATTTTTTTCTCCAAAAATATTCGACGCAAAACCCGTACGAACGCCACTGCTATAAATAATAGAAGACTTGTGCCAAATTTCATAAAGATATCTACAGTTATTACAAAAATTTGGTTTTTTTTCTCGAAACTTTAACACCCTAAATCTCAAAAGTTAAGGCGTTTAGGACGTAGGTTCATATGAAGTTTTTTTACTTGAAATGGGTCCAAAATATCACCCCCTTAAATATTAGCATGTCATTTTGGAACACCCTGTATAAGGGCTCGTTGTCTGAATGATTTTTCGCCGCTATGCGCGTAGTTCGTGCATTAATCAGATTCTAATATCATAAAATATTTATGTTTAATTAACAAACTTCCTTCCCGACTTCATTGTTTGCTCGCCCCTAATGAATACCAGAATTTCTCTTCTATTAAAAAAAAATACAAAACTAAAGCAAACGTCCCATTTTAGGCTCGAGAGTATCATGAAAAGTTCTCGGTTTGTTACACTGAGGGCGCTCCGATCTGTAAAAATTCTTGTTTCATCTTTGGGACATTTATAATTAATTCCAGAACTGTTTAGAACCATTTAGAACGCTCCAGAAGCATTTAAAACTGTCTGAAACAGTCCAGAATCATTTAGAACTCTCTAGAATCATTTAGAACACTTCAAACCCATCAAACTCAATAGAATTGTCTAGAATCATTTATAACTGTCCAGAACTACTTAATTAGCAGTCATTTTAGTCATTTTTAATGTTCATAGTTATTTTAGAACGCTTCAAAATCATTTAAAATTATGTAAAACAATCTAGACCTCTCCAGAATCATTTTTAATTGTGCATGTATTAATTTATTTTGTTAATCAGTACCTGTTTGGGGTGCGATTTTATTTAGCCAAACTCCTAGGGGATTTATACATATAATACTTCGGAAGTTACCGGGGCCGGTAAAAATGTAACCCTCCATCAATTAACCATTACAAAGCCGTTTTAACAACGAAACAATTCGTACGAGATATACCCTCTCGCGTTGATCAGTTTCGTGATTAAATTACGCGTAACATAGAAGGTTCGAATTTTCGAAATTCGTAGTTTCGCCGCCCCTACACATGTGTATGGTACATATATATAGATATATATCGGATATGCGCTCTCAATTAAATTACATCGAATTAGTTCGCAATGATGTTAAAATAAAATATGTATATCGATATCGGGCGCAGCGCCCCCTAGGCGAGCGAGCGAGCGGAATTTAAAACAGAAGCAATGCATATATGCACATGTACATATATACAGGGCGTCTCAACTTAAATACATCCTTGCTTAATATAGCTTGGTAGGGAAGTTTTTAAAAAGTACGAAAATTTATAGAAATGGAGAAGATCTCGAATTGTTGTTAAAATCAAATTTTTTGAACGATTTTTTATCATTTTCTGGTCGTTTTTTTATAACTTTCTGGCACAAAATACAATTTTCAACTGTCAAGCTACATTCGATGAAGTACAATTGAGTATACATTCTACATGTATTGTAATAACAAAATAACTCCGGGCGTTGTAGATATAGCTATCATACACGAAACGCAAGTTTAGCTACTCGAACCGTAAGCGAGGGCTCCAAAACGCCTTAGTATAAATTTCCTGTATATTTACATACGGAACAATCGTACGTACTTTAATGAGATCTTATATCGCCGGATTATAGCTCGTATGATGGATAATGAATTAGGAAACGCGTCGTTTGGGCGTCGCGACGCCTCGATTTTCTCCGTGCGGCGAAACGCATTTATCCGGACGGAACAATTAACCTGGAAGGCGGCGGAGTAAATAATTGATTTAATTAAGTCAGGAAACCGAAATGGATCTTCGGAAAACGATGGCAGGGCCGGAAATCGTCGATTTTCCCGCCGGTGTCGGGATAGATCGGGGAAAAATTAGGGGACGATCAAGAGGGCTGGGAACTATTAATGAAAATTTCCGGATTCAAACCCAACGCGGGCGATATTAATTCGTTTTAATGACGCTTGAGGTTAGTAACGTAGAATAGAAATTTTCAAAGTGAAAAGAATCAAGAAAAAAGTTAGTTTTTAAACTTAAACAATGTCCCTAGTTACTCCATAACAACCATGTAAATCTGTCAATTGAAGGAATCTCCTTAGTTACTCCATAACAACAATGTAAAACTGTCAATTGTAGGAATCTCCTTAGTTACTCCATAACAACAATGTAAATCTGTCAATTTAAAAGAATCTCCTTAGTTACTCCATAACAACAATGTAAATCTGTCAATTTAAAAGAATCTCCTTAGTTACTCCATAACAACCATGTAAAACTGTCAATTTAAAAACGCGCTAAATAGAGATAACTTTTTAATTACACCATGAATAGAAACTCTAAAAGCTTAAAAGCTTTAATAGAAATACTAATAAAATAATAATAAACCCCTTGTAACTGTGTACTTTTTTGGTATTTTTATTCACGAGGATATGGCTAATGAAGTGTCAAGTTGAGAATTGTCAAGTTGAAAAGTGTCAGGATGAGATGTGTGAAGTTGAGAAATGTCAAGATGAGAAGTGACTTGTTGAGAAATGTCCTTTAGTGTAAATTCACAATAATTTCAGAGTAGACTCAGAGTAGATTCAGAGTAGATTTAGAACATATTCAGAATAGATTCAGAGTAGATTCAGAGTAGTGTCACTAAGTTGAGAAGATAAATAAATATAAATAAATATTTTTACCAAACATTTTTATCAATGTCTCCTCTCTCCTTTAATTCCATAAAGTTCATTTAATATTCTCTACTCATAATTTCGCTAGAATATTCTTGTATTAAAAAGTAATCATAATTAGATGCTTATTTAATTAACTTTAAAAGCCATCGAAAAGTCTCCTTTAATTAACTATATTAAATAATTAATTAAATATTGATAGAAGAATGCCTAATAATGTAAAATATATGTACATGAAAGAGAGTGGTGGAACCGAAATGATCGGTGATTTGATTGAAATTGAATTGAAAAGGAGATAAATTTTACGTCGGAATATAAAGATAACGCGAAAGAAACGCAAAAGAAAACTTCACAACATGTAAAAATAACTCATCTTTCATCAGACACAACGCTGGAAAATATTTAATTTTCCTCCTCTTTTCGTAGGTACACGCCGTCGTTTTTAATCAACTCTAACGGGATAAAACCGTTGATAAAACGATGAAAAATATTACAGTGCAGGAAATTAGATCGTCGTATCGACTATATTTTTTAAATCCCCCTCGTATAAAACAAAAGCGGAGAATTATTTAACCCGGCCATCGTACCGGCCGGATTTAACGACATTAACTTATTCGTCAATCCGTCCGGGGGAAAATCCGATTATTTTCCCGCGTGTACCGATTAAGATGTTTCCTGCATCTGGCGAAATAACAAGAGAATAAAATCGATTACGGATATATCTTCTCGAACATCTCGCGATTTGAGTTATCCCGTTCGAACGTGATTTAGTTAGATTTTCCGGAAAAATTTATAGAAAGTTTTCTTTTGTATCGAACACGTTATAGACAGTTTATTCGAGCCGTCAAATGTTCGTTCTGCCGCGATTTTTCTCCGCCACGTGAAAAATCCGATTCGAAATTTATATTGGATTGAATGTTAATCGAAAATTTTTTTTTTTTTGAAAATTATACATTAAAATAAATTGGGATTTTTTTGTGTCGTTTCAGTTTGTTTTAATGAATATTTGAGGGGTTTTAAATGGGTTTAAAATTACTACTCTGAATTAATTATTGCGGCTTTGAATCTACTATGATAGTGCTATTGAATCTACTCTATAAATGAATTCTACTCTACTCTACTCTATGATGAATTTATATTTTTACTAATGACATTTCGTATGACATAAACTTAATAAAAGGAATCAATTTTTTGATTATAAAAAAGTTCAAATATATTTTTTTTAATTCATCCTTATTTATTCGAATTAATTTTTTTAAATCACCGTTGGATTAAAATTGCCTTCCGAACTTATTTTACCGAGCAAATATTTATACGAGCCTATCGAGCGCTCCAGTAAAGCTCTAACTACTTTTTCTCATTATTTATTTAGCTCCGCAAACATCACCTAAATAATTTTACATAAAACATTTTACTGCAATTAAAACAAAAAAAATACAAAAAAAAATTCCATCGACTCACCGACACGTCAATCTACGCGAATCCCTTCGACCCATCTAATTAATATTCTAATTAATAACGGCAATTAATTACTACAAAAAATCTCGCGAAGAAAAAGTTCCCACACACACACAAGCACGTGTTCGTTTACGCGCCACCAACGACGCGTCTCCCGACGCTCCTGTTCGACGTCGCGACGCGCGTTCCACTGGATGCTGGATAGCGGAGACGCCGAGCCGACGACGACGTCCATCCAGAAGAGCGCATGTGGGGACTTCCCGGCTTCTTCGGCTCGAAGAAGAAGCGCCGAAGACGCTTCCCCGATCGCTGATTGATCGCTGATTGAATGAATTAATCGCCGGATTAACCAATGGGTTATGGAAATTGGGCGCGAAACGGGTCGTAGGTTGTGATTTTGTGGGTAAATTGGGCGCAAAGTGACCGAGGAAGATCATCGCAAGTGTGATTTGTTTGGTGATTTGGAAGTTCTGTATTTAATTGGGCGCAAAAAGGGTTGTAAAAGTTTTAATCATGTAGGTAAATTGGGCGCTAAATGGTGGTAGATTTTAATGATATTGGTAAATTGGGCGTAAAAGGGTTGTAGGTTTTAATCTTGTAGGTAAATTGGGCGCAAAGTGACAACAGAAAATAACAAGAAATATATTTTGTTTGATAATTGAGAAGTTCTATATGTAATTTGGGCGCCGAAGAGTGGTGGATTTTAATACTATATAGATAAATTGGGCGCAAAATGGTTGTAGTGTTTACTCCTATAGGTAAATAGGGCGCAAAGTGTGAAAAGAATTCGCCACCTTACCCTAATATACACGAAATCTACTCTAAATCTTGTCTAAATCACTCTGAATCTACTCTGAATCTTCTACTCTAAATCTATTAGGTTCTCTGAATCTCCAAGTCTACTCAGAATCTACTTTGAATCTATGAATCTACTCTGAATATACTCTGAATCTACTCTAAATCTTCTACTCTTAATTTACTCTGAATCTACTCTGAATCTTCTACTCTGAATCTTCTACTCGGAATATTTGAGTCTACTTTGAATCTACTCTGAATCTACTCTGAATCTATTTTGAATCTACTACCCTCAATCTATTCTGACTATACTCTGAATTTATCTACCCTTTAATGTACTCTATTCTACGATAAATTACTACATTTATTTGCATTCATTAATATTGACATATTGACATATTAAATAGTGCATTCGATTTTAGGATAATTTGCTTTACGAAATAATTGACCTAACAATCGAAAATATCCCATTTGTTCGCACAAAATCCTCCACTCTATCGATCACCAAACGGCAAATATCGAATATAAGGGAAAAGCCGTCTCCACTTACCCCTCATTATATTTCGTTGCCGTACATAATCATCCCTCTCGCGAGTTGTCGCGCCGCTTCTTACACAAAAGAGACGGTAGAAGATTTTTCCGAAAACATCGAAAATCTCTTTGATTTTATACACTCATTATTTCGATGTAAAACTTTCCCGGGGCCCCCTCTCTACGCTTTGTTCCCCCGGAGCATCTCGAACGGGCCCCGCGCCGTCTTCAGGCGGTGCTCTAACTTCGAATACAAGAATCTATTAAGGGATGATAACTGGCGAAAAGTGCGCTCGAACGCGGCAAATTCCACCGGCGAAAAGTGGATGTTTGCCTAACAAGCTGCGAAAGCGAGTTGTTTTTCGCGACTTTGTTAATTCGTTTACTTTTTCAGCGGCGCTCCGGCTGGAAATATTTGTTTGTTCGTTCGTAGGCGATTCGCGTTCGACGCTCGTGATGGTTGAATTCGATGTTACGGGAGCTTTTCTTCGGGAGATTTTTTTCTAACGCGCTCCTAAACGCTTTTCTTCTTTTGTGAAAACGTTAAACCGTCGTCGAGACTTGAATTGATATTGAAATTTAATTTTTCAGTGAGTGTCTCGCCCGCTCGAAGGAAATTTGCGAGGAAACTTAGAATTGTTAATTTAAGAATGATTTTTTTTTTATTGTATCGAGTCCTCTTTGAGAAGGAAGAAGTTGAGAGGTGGCAAATTGAGAGAAGGATCAATCATAAAATCGTACTTAACCTGCTACTAGCCTGTTTTCAATTCACCTGGAATACATGGAACAATTAACCTTTTATCTTCTATACTATACAGGGTGACCCAGAAAGTGAAAAGGAGATAGAATCTTTCAATAATGTCAAATTGGTGTATAGCTAATTCACTTCATTTTCGTAGATTTGAATTCCTACTGGAATTGGTCGATTTCAAACCTCTTTATTTACCAAAGGAAGAACTTTTCCATGTTTTCGACTGCAGTTTCGGCATCTCCATTGTCGTTTCCATAAGGTGGGTCGTGAGTTCTGGGCCACCCTGTATATTTCCCGATCGTTTAATTTTTGTTTTTTTTCGTCCTCACATTGTCTCGTCATCGGTTCGAGAGAAATTCGATGGATAAATTCGGGCGCGATCCGTCAGCCGCGTGTGCATCGCGGGCGCGTTTCCAATTAAAGTGCTCCTGCGGGAAATCAGCGCTATTCCCGTACGGCCAATCCAATCCTGATTCGGATTACATAACACATGAAATTCTAATTATTGTATTGAGAGAACTGACCTCGCTGCGTACCGCATTATACTTCGAAATTGACCGTTTCCTATGGCAAATTGGCCGGGAATTGCGGACGCCGACCGACACCATTTTGTTATACGTTTTCCTATTTTATGGTATACCACTCTGTATAAGTCTATGTTAATTGGTACCTTTGGAAAATAAACAAATTAATAAGTGGTAAGTTGAGATGTGACAAATTGAGAAGTGGCATGTTGAGAAGTGGCAAGTTGAGAAGTGACAAGTTGAGAAGTGACAGTTTGAGAAGTGGCAAGTTGAGAAGTGACAAGTTGAGAAGTGACAGTTTGAGAAGTGGCAAATTGAGAAGTGACAAGTTGAGAAGTGACAGTTTGAGAAGTGGCAAATTGAGAAGTGACAAATTGAGAAGATGGAAGTTGAGAAGTGGCAATTTGAGAAGTGGCAAATTGAGAAGTGACAAATTGAGAAGATGGAAGTTGAGAAGTGGCACTTTGAGAAGTGGCAAATTGAGAAGTGACAATTTGAGAAGTGGCAAATTGAGAAGTGACAAATTGAGAAGTGACAGTTTGAGAAGTGACAAATTGGCAAGAGATTGATAAGTGTCAAGTAAATCCCGAATGGAGCAATGTCAAAATAGCCAAAAATAAATCTGCTCTGCTATATACACTAGAGTAAATAAATTGCAATAAAATCTCCACGAGGATTTAGAATTAAAAGCGTTAGAAACCCGCGATATAGCACCGATGAAAACGAACCTCTTTTGTTGATTCTTCCACTTCCCTCGACGATAAATAATTCCGAATAATTCGGGTTTTGCGGGGCGCTTTCAACGGGCCCCACAACGACTCTATCTATATACTATAGAGTAGCTAGTTATATGGCGTAATGGCGGCGAAACAAAGGCAGGAAGAAAACGAGAGGGGAATAAGGGTGTATGTTATTTATTTGCAAAATAGGAGAGTGTGCAAATCCGATTTATGGAAATGTTGAAAACAAACACTAATTGTGTTGTGCAGCGGCGAGTCTGTAACGTCAGTGGCAGATCTAGTTGGCTATAATTTTCATCTTTCGTTCGATATAAAAGAGGAACATTTTTTTATACTATTTTTTTTTGTAATGTAAACTGATGAGTTTAGAAAAAAAACAAGTTGACAAGTGACAAGTAGAGAAGTGTCAAGTTGAGAAGTGTCAAATTTAGAAGTGTCAGTTTTAGAAGTGTCAATTCGAGAAATGTCAAATTAAGAAGTGCTAAATTGAAAAGTGTCTAATTTGAGGAGTGCCAAATCGTGAAGTGTCAAAATTGAGAAGTGTCAATTTTAGAAGTGTCAATTCGAGAAATGTCAAATTAAGAAGTGCTAAATTGAAAAGTGGCTAAATTGAGAAGTGTCTAACTTGAGGAGTGCCAAATCGAGAAGTGTCAAAATTGAGAAGTGTCAAAATTGAGAAATGTCAAATCGAGATATGTCAAATCTATCCTATCTAGAAACTATCCTAACTATTCTTCATCCACCATCGTAAAAATCGCCTCGATAAAAACCCAAAAAAAAAAGTAAACAAAACCGATAAAAACGCCGCTGCTTTGCGTATACTATAATACACAAATATTATACATTTCCTTTTGGATTGGAGAAAAGTCTCGGGCTCGGTACGAGCGCCGCATCCCAAAGTGAAAAACTGGAAAACTAGTTACGCCGTCGGCTCTTTTTACTTCATTTACATCGGGCCATTTTTCCCCGGGTTTTGATAATGCGCGAGTTTGTATTCGCGGACGCACTTCTTTGTAGCTTGATTAGGGTGAATTATGTGGGCAACAGGCCAAGCCGTTTGGGAAAACTCCCGGCGAAAGGGGGGCTTTCTCCTATGCAGGGGAAATTGTCGCCTCTGCGGGGCATTTTTGCCGAATTTAACGGTTTTATTATGCTAGGGGTTAAATTAGAAAACAATTTATTCGGTGTAATTTATCCGATACAAATTAATATTACTTAAGGATGGAGTTTTCCGCACTCTATTTTACTCTGCTCTACTCTGAAACTACTCTGGATCTACTATAAGAATCTAACTTGAACTACTCTGTACCTACCTACTCTGTAACTACTCTGAATCTACTCTGAAATTACTCTGAATCTATCCTGAAACTACTCTAAATGTACTCTGAATTTACTCTGAATCTACTCTGAAATCACTCTAAATCTACTGTGAGTTTACTCTGAAATTATTGTGAAACTACTCTGAATTTACCCCGAATTTTCTGTGAATCTCCTCTGAAACCATTCTAAATCTACTCTAAACTTGTTGTGAATCTACTGTGAATTTACTCTGAATGTATCCTGACTTTACCCTGAATCTACTCTGAAATCACTCTAAATCCACTCCGAGTTTACTCTGAAATTATTGTGAAACTACTCTGAATCTACCCCCTAATTTTCTGTTGAATCTACTATGAAATTGTCGCCTCTGGTGGGAATTTTTGTCGAATTGAATGGTTGAAATAATACTCGCAGTAAAATTAGAAAACAATTTATTTGATACAATTCATCCGCTACCGAAAATTAATATAATCCAATACATCAATGAAAAGCAGAAGAAAAACGAAGGGAAAACCATCCTGGCCACTCGGTCGATTTCCTTCCACATTATCTTCTCTTTACCTTCCTTCTGCAAAAGAAGAAACGCTTGAAGAAATCCCGGGCATTAATGGGAAACAAAACCTATACCGTTTTCCAACTGAGACTGATGAATTTCTCTTTGTTGATGTGATTGTACCGGAAATTCCGAATCGATTTCGGAAATGGTTCCCGCCATTGCACTAATCCAGTTTCCTGAAAACCAACAAAAAAATCATCAAGGATAAACTCACCAAGGATAAAAAAATATTAATTAAATACTACAGTTTGAACCAAATTGGACTATATCTGGACCAACATGAACCACTCTGAACCAACTGACTACTCTTGGATCAACTTGGACTATTCCTGAACCAACAGAATTCACATCTCAGACCATTTCTGGTCTAACTTTGACCATTCCAGACCTCCAAATACTACTAGCTATTGATACAGTTGGACAAAATATATTTAAATTACCTTTTCCTCTTCTACAGCTTTATTCAACAGCTTTTCTTTAGCTTTCATTTCGTTGTACTTCCCGTACAGAACCTTCACGATAACGAATTCACCCAAAGCCGCGAAAACCGATATCATACACCCAGCCATCCAGAGATCCAAAGCCTGCAAACAAATCCGTTTGCCATTTTCCAATACTGTCGTAACCGATAAACAACCTTGATGTAGGCCACCGCCGGTATATCGGTCCTAAGTCCGGTGAACATGGTGACCAGTGTGAGCAGACACGTGACCAGCAGGGTCACTCTGGCCGGTATGGCGTCGAGTTGCAAGTAGAAACTGAACCAAGACAGCACCACCACCAAAGTCGACGGGGCGAAGGTCTGGATCAAGTGGTGGCCGATTTGCCGTTCGAACCGAAAGTACACCAGCAATCTGGAAAAGTTACCTGGAAGTTTCGCGTTATATATGTGAAACTCGTCGCGAATTGGCCGTTACCGTTCTTCTCCACGGTGTAGGCGAAACTCTCTTCCAAAATCAACGGCAGGATGTTGTACTGGAGCAGCTTCAGTTCCGGTATGATCGTCACGCCGGGTCCGTGCCATCTCAGCAGCATTTTGTTGCTGTTGTACGAAACTGTTCGCGATAAGAATGGAATTTAATCGAGCGATTTCCGTCTATGATACTTACAACTTTCCACTGCTATGGGACACACTTGGGTGTCCATCGGATAATGGTAGAATTCCATTTGGCAGGCGACTATCGCGTGCATCCGGGCCGCGTATCGAATCGTCTTGTTTTTGAACAGGGTTACCGATGAGAATTTGTGGGTCAGAGTCGCGATTTCTATTACACAAAAGATGGCGTTAGTTTAAATGGTTCCAGACAGTTCATGAAGCGTTCTAAATGGTTATAGACTGATCTAAATGGGTCTGGAGGTTCTAAATGGTTCTGTAGTTGTTGTAGTAGTGACAAAAAACCCTACATAAATCAGTGACTGGATCTAGACAGTTCTAAATGAGTAGTGGAGCCTTTTAAATGGATCTTGTTAGTCGTCAATAATTCTAGAGCGTTCTAAATGGACCTAGATTGTTCTAAATGATTCTGGAGCGTTCTAAATGACAAGTGGAGTGTTTTAAATGGACCTAGACAGTTCTAAATAATTCTGGAGCGTTCTAAATGGATCTAGACTGTTCTAAATGTTTCTGGACCTTTCTAAATGTTTCTGATGGAGTTTTCTAAATGGATGTAGACCAGTAGAAGTGATTCTGGAGCGTTTTAAATGGTCCTAGACAATTCTAAATGGTTCTGTAGTTGTTGTAGTAGTGACAAAAAAAACCTAAATCAATCAGTGACCGGATTGTGAGAAATCTGGTTTATTAACTAGAATTTTAGGAAGACTCACCGACTACTTTGGAGTTTAGAAAATACAAATCAGGCTGCCACATGTTGTCGAAAAACGAGGAGGGCAACGTGACCGAATCGTCGCCGTATTCGAACATTTCCTCCGGTATTTTGATCCTCGCGTCCTGCCATTCCTGCTTCAGGAACATATCCATACTGGAAAATTCGATCGCCTAATACTACAGCTAATTTTTTAACGCTTCGAAATGTTACCGAAAATCCATATCTTCCACGTTAATCGAGTTGATGTCCATGACCCTTATGGAGAAATCCACTTCGATCGGTTTCCCTTCGATCGTCGGCGGTCTTATTTCTTTTAACAGACAAAACTTTCGTGTTTAAATTTGCGATATTCGCGCGAAAACTAAAGTACCTTTGATGTAATTTTCGGGTATGAGACTCTTGGATTTGTTCTGGGCGTCGGGATTCCTCGGTTTGGGCACCGAAGCGCTAGCGCTCGCCACCAAATTAACCCTAAAAAAATAGCCAATCTATCTACTTCATAATTACTAATCGATCGATCGATCGATTAATCGATTTCGGGAATCTTACGCCAGCGCCAACGCGGATAATTCGAGGACACTCGCCGCGATATCGCAGCCCATCTTGCTACTTGAACTCGAAATTTTTTTGTGCGATTTCGTCGCGATTCGTTTGCCGCATATTCGAGGAAAAATTGCAAGGCGAAAAAAAAAAAGAGTAATCGACGGATGTCGTTAATTTTTATGTAGTTAAATGCACGGGCGTACTTGTTATAAAGGAGTTAATTGTAAGATGAAAAGACAGCCGTTTTCAGTTCGAAAACTTACATTATTCCTTGTATTAAGTCGAAATCTTTAGTTCTAGACAGTTGTAATTAATTCTGGAGCGTTCTGAAGCACTCTAAACGGTTCTAGGCAGTTCTAAACGATCCTGGAGCGTTCTTAATGGTTCTAAACAGTTCTAATTGATTCTGATGCTTTCTAAATGGTTCTGAACAGTTCTAATTGATTCTGGAACGTTCTAAATAACTAGGGAGCATTCTAGATCGTTCTAAGACAGTTCTAAATGAATCAGGCATAGAATTTTTCACGCTACCCTCGTAGTTACCTACGCCGATGCGTCGTAGTTTTGTATAATCGGACGTGGTCGCTTCCTTTTTATTTGTTCTTGATGTCTAACGCCTCAATTTTCCCATTAAACCTTAACGCAAACTCATGTTAAGGAATTATGGTGGAATTAGAAGCTTCCGTTTGAGTCAGCTGTTAGATCGGGAAATTGCCGTTTGGTAATTATTTATTTGACTTTTAGTTAATTTTAATCCGGTACTGAATATTCTACTGTACTGCACTCTACGATAAATTACTAGGAGTTTTTAGCATTGTAAATAAGTGGGACTGTCAAAATTGACATTAGTGACTTTTCGTATGACAGAAGTTTAATAGAGGTGGGAATGAATTTTTGGGTATAGAGGTACAGTAAGAAAACCGTTACAAAATAACCGTTATTTTTCAAATATCGTTCTCCTGATTATTCTACTCCAGTACTCTACTCAATACAGTACCTACCACCCAATAAAGGCGATTATTAGTTTGGCGCGAATCGATTGAAAAATCCTGCTACATTGTTATGTGTGCTGTAGTTGTGAAATCGGCCGGATAAGCCCGGAGTTTCCAAGGTCCGCATCAAACTTTCAGCATTAACGGAATTAACTCCGCGATCGCAATAAATGACTAATGATCCTTCATACTGTAGAACAATACATAATCTGGATTCGGGATTTCTCCCTGCGAGTTAACCGCGCCACGGCGTTGCCAAATTTCCACGATCCCAAAGAAAATGCTCAACTCATGAAATAGGCTGTTTATCTCCAATATCTCATCTAGAATTTTTTTTAGACTCCTCACAATTTCGTGAAAATACAAATACTTAAGTGTTTTAACGAATTAATTTCAGGTGGATGGAATTCCGAAAAGTTTTTAGTGGTATTGTAATTTTGCTTTATACAGGACATATCGTAAAATAACGAAAATTGGCAACATTGCAAAGGAAATTTCGACCGACCACCGACTTTTTTTTGGTCCTTCCTTCTTCTCTTAATACTGATCGATAGTTGATTATGTCGAAAAAGACATTTATTATCGTCCGACCACAATGAAACTTGAATAAGGGGTGGTTTTTTTTTCTCTCGACGGTATAAAATAACAGCGTTAGAGGAAAATTATCGCGGGATCAAATAAACTGCGAAATAGCCGCCGCGTTCGCCCGAATTTAAGTCCACTTATTTTACCACGTTTTGGTCATTTATAATTAATTCTAGAACTGTCTTGAACCATTTAAAATGCTCCAGAATAATATGGGAACGTTTGGAACCATTTAGAACAGTCTAGAATCATTTAGAACCATCCAGAAACCGTTTAGAACGCTCCAGAATTAATAAGAACTGTCTAGAATTAAAGATTTTGCCTTAATAAGAAGAATTGCATGTAATTTTTAAACTGAATGAATCCCGATTTAAATGATTGTTTGAATATTCGATTAGTATATTACACGCAGTATAATGTATAAGGGGATATATTTTTTATGCGAAAACTTACAGTCGTATAGCGAGAAGTTCGCGAGAAGTTCGTGAATTACGCGTTTTGGTAGGAATAAGTTTATATCGAAATCAAATACCTACGTCAAAAGTTTGAATACACATTACAATGAGAAGGTTATATTAAAACAGACTCGCCCAAATAATAAAATACAGATGTTTCGGAAGTTTCGATATTGTAAAGTAAAAAGTTTTCGCGCTCTCCGAGGAGGAAAATCCGTTTGCGAGAGAGTGACTTTTCCGGCTTGCTACGCACAACGAAAGAAGTATAATACACATTATAATTTCTTCAACAAGACGGATATATCGAAAATTACCTTTAAATAGAGCCAGATAACGACCGGATGCATAATAATCCGGCATTTATCAAGATGCCACCGCCGCGCTCGGTCGTTTTCGCAGATTTTCCCCATATTTAATAAAATCCCCGACGGGAATCTTCTGTGTTTCATTGACGCGAAAGAGATTTATCCGGCGAACCTGTCTCATAAACGGTCAGGAAATTTAAAGCCGCTTCGCCCAGTTAGCCCGTTTTACTTTGCAGATAGACCGATTTCTTCTCATGGAATCTTGAAGAATGCTAAAAATTATACGAGGGTAGCGTGAAACGTTCTCGGCCTGTTACACTTAGAATGCCTTGGAACCATTTAGGCGCTCCAGAACCACTTAGGACGCTTCAGAACCATTTAGAAATGTCTAGAAGTAAATATTTCGACGGGCGATTTTTGATACATTTTTGACCAATTTTCAGTTGATTTTTGTCAATTTTTTTGGTCGGTTTTTATCAATTTTTGTTCAATTTCTTGGTCAATTTTTGGTTCATTTTTAGTCGATTTTTGTTCATTTTTGGATAAATTTTCAGTTGATTTTTATTTCATTTTTGTTCGTTTTATTATTAATTTTTGGTCGATTTTAAATTATTTTCTGGTCGTTTTTTCATCAATATTTTGATGATTCGTTATTTGATCAAGTTTTGGCCTTTTTTTGACCAAGTTTTGGCCGTTTTCTGTTCAATTTCTTAGTCAATTTTTGATTACTTTTTAGTCGACTTTCGATCAAGTTTCTGTTGATTTATTGTTCTATATTAGTTCGATCATTTATCAATTTTTGGTCGTTTTTTGACCAATTTTTGATCGTTTCAAATCTTTCTTCACCCTCTACACTCAGAGAGTACACCTCATAAGAGCTCTCGCTCTGTATACAGGATGTCCCAAACCTTTTTTTCACTTCTACATACAGAGAGTACACCTCTCGCCCTGTATACAGGGTGTCCCGAAACACCTTGCTAATTGGGGAGCACTGTTGACACAATTTCCCTTTAAAACCCCTGCATAAACTCGTACGTTCTGCTCCCTTTCGAATCGCTCGGGGCTCGAGGGGGGGGGGGAGCGAGTTTAATCGGCGATCTACGAAAAGTGAACAATGAGCCGGTGATCTATGAAGAAACGGGCCGTTCTTTACCGATTTCTCGAACTACATTTACCCCGAACCGAGAGGGTGTGTTCGCCCCGCGTGTGCTGAATAAGGCGAGTCCGATACGCCGGTGCCAAAAATACGTTTGGAGAAAATAAGACGAAACGTGTAGGTAATAAAAATTTTATTTAGACGTGTACTATTCGCTAATAAATATAATATAAAGAAAATCTATTCATATTTGTACCGAAATTAGGTGATTATGTTACATTAATTAAGTGTGTAAACGATATACAGGGCGTGTCACGATGACGGCCCGTTAGAAGTGTACGAAAAAGTCTACGGGGGTAAGGTGAAAAGTTCTCGGCCAGATTTTCAGTTTAAAAATTACATGCAATTCTTCTTATTAAGGCAAAATCTTTTATTCTAGACACTTCTAAATGATTCTGGAGCATTCTAAATGGTTCTAGACAGTTTTAAATGATTCTGGAGCATTCTAGATTGTTTTGGAGCATTCTATCAGGCCGAGAACTTTTAGCCCTACCCTCGTATATTGGTGCTTGGTTGAATAATTACATTCCTTTGGTTTCATTGGTACTTTACATACACTTCTAACGCACCCTCTTGCAGAGACACGCTGTATATATACAGGTTGGTTCATTTTAGTTCGCAATATAGGTTATATAAGGTACGGGTGCGATAGAGACAACTTCCATTAGACACTTGTAAAGGAAAAAGATAGTGATATTGTATCATTGCAACTTGTCACTCTGACAGCTGTCATTTTAGTAATCTTTCTTTGTTCAACTCATAGAGACCATATTGCAAACTGAAGTGAAACGCAATATAAATGAAAATAGTGAAAGCACAACCGTGTATCGATCATTTAGTTTTTACATATAAAATACTACCAACTAGAATTTAACACGCAACAATTTGAAACCTACGGATACAGTACTCAATAAACACCCCCTCTACAGCGACCCCTACAATATTGCCATACAAAAACCAGGTACTAGTTCAGTTCGATTCGCATTCAAGCGATAGTCATTTTGAGATCACAAACTGTCACAAATTCGAATCGATTCGATTCAATTCAATTTAAATATCCCCTTGGAGGGCTTCACGAAGTACGGCTTGTAGTTGCTCTTGTAGTAGTTCCTCTTGTCCGTGTTATTGCCCACCTCCGAGGCCTCGGGGGCCTCTTTCTTCGTGGCGTTACCGAACGTCCGGAAGTTCATCGGTATCGAACCGTGCTTGATGTGCAACAGTCTCGTGTCCAATACTTCGCAATCGATCTGCATCAACGGTATCATAGACGCCTTCGATACGGTTTCTGCTAAAAAGAAAAAAAAAATAATCCATTATGTCAATGTCAAAATAATCGATTACGTCAAAATAATCCATTATGTCAATGTCAAAACAATCGATTATGTTAAAATAATCCATTACGTCAATGTCAAAATAATCGTTCAAATTCTCACCGTTGGGCATTATAGAGGGCATGATGAGCGACATTTTGGGCCGTCTGGTTTTGTTGTGGTGCAAAGCGGGTAGAAGGAGATGCTGATCGGTGAACGAAACCACGTAGAAAGTGTCGTCTTGCTTGTTAATCGCCTCGAAGAATTCCGAATAGATGTGATCGGGTCGAACTGAGAACACTTGCAATTCGTTCGGCGTCGGTGCTTCCATCTCTCGGCCGTCTTTGTACCTATCAAAAGATAAAAGGGTATTAATTACGTTATGTTTTCAGTGTAAAAATTACATTATTCTTCTTATTAATTCAAAATCATTGGTTCTAGACGGTACTAATTGATATTGGGGCATTCTACATTGTTCTAAATGATTCTGGAGCGTTCTAAATGGTCCCAGACAATTCTAAATTATTCAAAAAGTTCTAAATAGTTCTAGACGATTCTGGATGTTTCTAAATGGTTCTAGAGAGTTCTAAATGACTATGGAGCGTTCTAAACGGTTCTGAACCGTTCTAAATTGTTCTAGACAGTTCTAGAATTGATTGTGAATACCCTTAGTGTAACAGGCCGAGTACTTTTCACCCTCCCTACGTACCTGTATCGTTTGTACGAAGTTAGGGAATTCTCTAGTCGATATTTCTTCTTTCTGGGACGGGATTTTTTGATGTTGTTGGTTTTGTTTTGGTCCAAACTGGTGTTTTTCGGAATGCTAGAAGGTTTTCCTATCCACCTGGAATGGGTGCAATTAATATTTGTAGGAAATTTGATGAATTAAAAAAATACCTTTCTAATTCTAGCACTAATCGAGCGCTTTCGGTTTGATTTATCGTCGCGGGGCACATGAAAAATTTCGAAAAGGCCGACGTTTTGTTTTCTTTGTCGTTTACATCATCAGTCGTCCATAATAAACTGCGCCCGTGGTGGCCGTTCAATAAAGGCAACGGGTCATCTACTTGCGTCTTAACACTGAATGGGTTTCTGGAAAATATTAATACAACATTATCAAAAATATACTACATTTAAATTCAATCTAATTACCTCATTATGTTAAAATTTAAACCTAATACTATCAAGCAAATACATAAAAATAAGCTCGGTTTGATGGATCTGCTTCCATTTATGTTGAGCGGATTTATTTCGTATTGAGCGAGTTTCTCCTTGAGCTGAATATTTTCCTAAAAAAACATAAAATATTATTAAAACGTACGTTAATCTTATCTAACACTTATGTTCAAAACTACATGAATAATTAAGCAAACGGTGATAATAATATTCTAAAATTAGCACACACTTGCATTCGTTTAAGTATTTTATGCAACTCATTTAAACTATTTATAACTGTACCCTCGTATATATTCAAATTTACCCATCGAACATCTCTTACCGATTGCAATCGTTTATTCAAACTGGTCAACTCTTTCACTTGCTCCTCCAACGAAGTAACGTAATCCTTCTTCTTCTTCCTCGAAAGACTGGCCGATTCCCTGTTTTTAATCTTCCTCTGTTGCCTCTTCAGTATCTTCGGATCGATGCTCCGGCCGTTCAAAGTGAACCGGTTCTTGGCCTCCAACAGTACAGACGATACAGTCACCGGTTTCGTGACGGGCACGCTGGAAATCAAGTTATCCATGAGCACGACGTTCGGTGGCTGCGTGACAACAGGTTTCAGGTCCCCGTTCAGGACTACCAGGTTGTTTTTGTTGATGATGGGCAGCGGGTAGGGGGTTTTCGGTACGATCGGAACGTGTTTTTGCACGATTTTGACCGGGTATACGACGTTGTTGGGCAATTCGTTTACGTTGTTTACTATTATAGGGGACGCGGGGGGCGATTTGGGTACGATTTCTTCTTTGATAATCGGAGCGTCGGGGCAAACGGGGGAGTTGGATTTGCTCGAGCGAGGCGAGACCGGCTCGTTTTTCACACCGTTCGAAGGCCATTTGCTGAAATCTAATTTCTGGAGGTCTAGTAACTCTCTACTAACGTCTACCGTGGGTTCGGGTAGGATTTCCTCGGGGTTTTCGTCGAACAACAGGGAATTCAGGATGCTCAGCTCGTCCTCGCCTTGATTGAGCAACAGCGGTATGTTCAAATCGGACGATAATTGCGTTAAAAAGTCCTCGTCGCAGGCCACGTCCATGCAATCTACGGAATTGATACGGGCGATTAGTTTCCGGTAAAGTGTAAAGCGATAGCGGGCGGGTTATTACCTGTGGAATACGAATGATCGCTGTAGGAATTGCATGATTCCGGGGAACTTTTGAAGACGTAATCGTCCAGCGAAAAATCGTCCGTAGTTAACATGTTTCTTGCCGGTTTTTTGTCACTTAAATGCGTGCAATTTCTTTTACTTCACGTCATTTCACCGTTAAATATTTTGGTGACGGCGATACATGTATATTTTGACACATTCGATGACACTATTGACACTGATGACAGTGACGTTTACTGACACAAATTTTAATTGGAAACTTGACTAGTACAAGACCACTTACTAAATAACCCGTATGTCATTATTGTCAAAAATGAAAACTAACCTCAAATTTAAACTTTAAATGAATTCGAGTACAACACAATTCTAAACTATTTATAATCGAGTAATTATATCCACAAACTTTATTAATAAATAGTATATTATGAATTTAATCAAGCAAGTCATCCAACGAGTACCGATTCGACCAACACTAGTCTCGAACCTGCCGCAAATAAAATGTATATCGGACAATATTACAGGTTTATTATCTAACAAACTATCATGCCTGACTATCCAAGGTAGTATTTCCTCAAAATTGTACCAAAATTTAACTTAAAATCGATTATAATCTTAGAAAGATATGGTTCATCGTTGTATCAAATGCACAGGAAAGGGCCCCACATAAAGCAAAGGAAATGTCGCAATCCCTTCGACGGTAACCCTTTCATGAAAGGCGTCGTATTGAAAACGTTGATCAGAAAACCGAAGAAACCCAATTCGGCTAATAGGAAATGCGTTTTAGTACGATTATCGAACGGCAAAGAAATGATAGCGTACATACCGGGCGTCGGTCATAATTTACAGGTATATTTCTACCGATAATAATATTAAATATCAAATTTTAATCGTATTGCTGCTTCCAGGAGCACAACATAGTCCTGTGTCAAGTGGGTCGAGTGAAAGATTGCCCCGGTGTGAAGATACGATGCGTCCGAGGGAAATACGACCTCTCGCATGTGATTAAAGACAAAAAGTAGACCGTCGTAAGCGGAAAATCCTTACTTCATTTTAATCGTATTTGCAAATAAATCAATTCAGGTAGGACATTACACGTTTCGATTCACTTCAATATCCGAATTAGACGAATATTTCTTTAACGATAAAGTTGTAGTACAAGCTTAAAACGGCCAGTCCTAAACCGGTGGTGTGATCCGCGCATCCGTCTTCGAATATATTAGTCGTTCGTTTGATTTTAGTCTTCAAATCGTCGCTCAACGTCGCGGAAAAACAGCCACTCGACCGTTGGGATTTCAAAATGTACAGCAACCATCGGTTGGAGAAAAAGTCCGCGTAGCCCTCGTAACCGCACAGTACAGCTGAAAATGCCTTCGATTAGTAAGGGATCGAATCGTAACGGGTTATTTTCGAGTACCTTCTTCGAGGAACAGGTCGAACATGCGGTCCAATTGATCGAAATAGTCGCCGTTTAGTATCTCGGAGAACATGCGGGAGCAGAGGTGTTTGGCGTTCGATCGGTAGAAACGTTCGTCGATTATGCAGTTTCTTTGTTTGGCCAGTTGCAGGGATAACAGTCTGGAATATGGATAATTTAGATTCGATTGAAGTGTGCGATTATTTCTTACTTGTGCGTTAAAATGTAGCCGGATGAGATGTTGTCGTTTCGATAGAAAATATCCCAACAGTTTCCGTTTATTAGGCATAATGTTGGTGTTAATGATTGTGTAGTGGTTATTATATCTTTCAAGCAGGCATCCATTTTGTCTAGGAATGTTTTGTCGTTGTGGTATTTTGCTATGTTTGTTAGAATTTGGATGTTTTTAACGCTAGAGAAGCTGTTTAATTCGTTGTATTTGTATTCTATATTCTTTTGCCACAACTGGGGAATCAACATGGATTCTACAACTAAAAAATAATGAGTTATTTTACGATGAAGTTGTTTGGTAACTTACTCCACGTTCGGTCTTCATTAACATAGGGTACAGCTTTTTGTAGAACTTTTCTCAACTTGTTTATGATATTTAAAGTGCTCGAATCCATTATGTGGCTTCCGTTGCGGTACGAGTCTCTCATAATAGCTAAAAATACAATTATTTAATCTACTTATATTACCAATTTTTGCGATAATTTATACCAATGCTCAACACCACACCGAACAGGCAATCTTCGTTCATCTTATCGTAATTATCATCGATATAATTGATGGCTTTCTCGATATTCTGACGGACTTTTAATATGATTCTTTTATCCAAAATGTGGCATTGCGCGTTGGTTATTAGTAGAAAGAAACACGCGAGAAAGTACACCGATCGAGACATTTCTGCTCCTGCTGGGCCGGTCTCCGGTTTTATATATATTCACTTTCCCTGCCATTTGTATTACTTAAACAAATCAGTGGCGTTCAGGCAAAATCAGTTCCCTAAATGGTTCTAGACAGTTCTAAATAATTCTGAGGCGATCTAAATGGTTCTAGATAGGTCTAAATGATTCTGAAGCGTTTTAAATGCATCTAGACAGTTCTAAATGGTTCTGGACCATTCTAAATAATTCTGGAGCATATAAAATGCTTTTATTCAGTTATTAATGCTTCTAGAGACTGTTCTAAATGGTTCTAGAGAGTTCTAAATGATTCTGGAGTATTCTAGACAGTTTTAAATTGAAATTGTATCGTACTCGGTCTCCTTATTTTTTATAGCAAAATTTTGGTTTGTTTATCATGAAGTGTACTTTAATAACTCCTTAATATAGTGCTTAATACTATAGTTTTCGAAGGGAATTAAATGAAGAGTGATATAGTACCTATTTGGTACTGTAAAGGGCAATTGTGCAGTGTCGTTAAGAAACTGGCTTGAATTGAATTTTCCACTCGGTTAGAACGTGGGTTTAGTCCTTTTTTTATTAATCCATTTGGTTTTACATGCATTGAGCGTATTGATTATTCCGTTCAAATGAAAATTTATTGAAGAAAATCGCCGCGCTGAATGCTAAACAGTTTGCGCACAATGTTTACTACAGAGGCGTTGTTTTCAGGGAAATAATAACATTATGGGTTGTCTTTTAAATGTTTTTGTTTGGGTGAATTTTATTTTTCAACATTTTGCATATTTGAAGTTATTTTTTAAATTCAGGACTTTTTCTTGTAAGTAATTTAGTCACAAAACGAGATCAATTCAATATGTCAAAAGTGTCAAAAAACACAAATTTAGTCACGAAACATAATATTCAACGTCAAAAAAATACAATAACATAACCTCCTTCTGTCAACTATTTTAATACGTTATATTTCTACTTAAATAAATCAAAATTAAAAATGTCGCGAACGGCCTTAAAGTCCTCGAAATTGTTGAATTTCGCCAACATCTACCAAAGCCTGTCGAAGCGCTACGCCTCGAAGCTAGTCTACAAGGAATACGGGGACCCAGTGAAAGTCATCCTCAAGGAGGAGGACCCCGAACTGTCGCCCGGGCCCAAAGAGGTGCTCGTCAGGATGCTGGCGGCCCCCGTCAACCCCGCGGACATCAACACGATACAGGGAAAGTACCCTTCGAAGCCCCCTTTACCGGCCATACCCGGCAACGAAGGGGTCGGAGTGGTGGAAAAAGCGGGCCCGGAAGTCAGTACGATCGCCGAAGGCGACCGAGTAGTACCGCTTACTGCTAACCTAGGCACGTGGCGAACGCACCTGGTACTACCCACGAGTAATGTCTTGAAAGTACCGAAAACCCTAGGATTAGTCGAGGCTAGTACTCTTACGGTGAACCCTTGTACGGCTTACAGGATGCTGAGGGACTTCGCCCCTTTGAAACCCGGTGATACGGTTATACAAAATGGCGCTAACTCGGCCTGCGGGCAGAACGTGATACAAATTTGCAGATCGTGGGGCATCAGGACTGTGAACGTAGTACGAAACAGGCCCGAAATCGACCAACTTAAAGCCTATCTAACGGATTTAGGGGCCACTTACGTTCTCACCGAAGAAGAAATACGAAGTACCAAAATATTCCAAACGGAGAAACTAGACAAACCGAAGTTGGCCCTGAACTGCGTAGGAGGCAAAAGCGCCTTAGAAATAATGAGGTATATCGAACACCCCAAAATCACCTAATCGATTGACATAAAACCTGTTTTATTTACGTAGATATTTGCAAAATGGTAGTCCGATTGTGACGTACGGTGGCATGTCTCGGGAACCCCTCACGGTACCCACTTCCGCATTGATTTTCAAAGACATACAGGCCGTAGGTTTCTGGATGACTCGATGGTCGAAGGAAAACAGCGACTCCGTCGAGCGATTGGAAATGTTCGAGGAATTGATCTCGATGATGACCAACAACGATCTGAAAGGTCCCGCTTACGAAATGGTGAAATTCGACAATTACTCGGAAGCCCTCATGAATACCATGACGGTTAAAGGGATGATCGGGAAAAAGTTTATTTTAGATTTCAGTTAAACGTCGTACGGTCAAAATGCCCTTCGAGCTCGCGCTGTTTTTTAAAATTATTTTTTTGTACGGGTCCGGTCAGATATTAAAGGTTTATTAACGTTTGTTTACAATAAAATTGTGCTCTAGACAGTTACCTAACGTTTATTTACAGTAAAATCACTTAACAATTAACATGCAATATCATGAATTCGAATGGTTCATTTTAACGTTCTTATTACTAATTTTTTTGACGGAATTCGCGGCCGATTTGCCCTTCTCGGTACCCGAATCGTTATCCGAACTAAAACTCAGACTGTTCCTCGCCCTCCCTTCCTCGCTCACGCTCTTGCTCTCGCTCCGGCTCTTCCTTCTCTGCGTCATATTGTCCTTCAGAAATTGGCTGAGCTGGTGGAACCGGTGCTCCCACATGAGGTTCTGTTTCTGCACCAAATCCCCGTGCTTGTTGATGAAATCCTGATCGACCGGCAAATGCAGCTCCCACTCCTTGTTGTGCCTTCGGAGCTTCGAGATCCCCGTGAAAATCTCTTTAATCTCCTCCGATGGTATTTTTAATATCGACGACACTTTCTTCCTTTCGACGTATTGGTTCTTGGTAAATAGATACAACTACGACGAGATAAATGGAGGTTAATTAATACGAAAAGGAAGAATTATTACTCACGATATAGTCCCTAGCTCTGCACATTAGCTCGGCCGGTACACCGCTGGTTGAAGAAAACGTATTAGCAGGATACAGAACGTCCGATTTCACGATCCAATTACCCCGAACGAGCACAGCCACGGTAGGAAGGGCCTTGAGCAAGAGGTCCGCAGCCAGTTTCTCTCCACCCGTCAACAGCATCAACAGCTGTTGAAATTTGATGATTTGCGCTGCAACAATCTACATAAATCGCACGATCAATCTCGCTATATTCTCGACGTTACCGTCTTTGAGGAGCACCCGGCATCGTTCTTGAACGGGCAGAGCCCTTAGGGCGTTCAGAGAGAGCAAATGAGAGGGCAGAACCGGCTCGAGGGGGGCCTGTTCCTGATCGGCGGGAACCAACAACCGCAGGTACTCGGCCTCGTCTAAGGAGGTAGCCGAGCTAACGTCTTCGGTGTTATCGGATATTAATTTGAGTTTCTCGATCTACAATACACATCGCATTAAACTTAAAATAATTACGATTGATTAATTTGTAATTACACTGCTGAAAGTGCTGTCTTCGTTGTGCCACTTGCATTCGACCCAGGGCTCTTCGGCGCTTCGGGCTTGCAACGCTTTGAAGCTCTTCGCATCGCCTTTCTTCCACCTTTCGTCGTTCGATTTGAATTTAACGGTGACTTGTTGGGCCGTGCTCGGGCCGGCTTCTTCTTCGTCGAGCTCTTCACTATCGTTCTCTTTCTTGCGCTTCAGGCTCTTCTCCATGTAGGGGAACGAGGGTCTGAATTGAAAGACTCCTGTAGACAAAAAGGTGTTACAATAATATGGTAGGGTAATTTTAAATTCACCTTTTAGGGAAGTGAGGTGTATCTCTTTGCCGTTGTAAACGGCCACAGCGTATTTATCGGGGTTTTTGATGGAGTTGCTCGATTGCAGGAGGACTTTATCGACGATTTCGTTTTCGAAATATTTGCCGGCGTCTTTGGATTTCTCGGTGTCCTTGTCGACTTCGTGAGCGATTATTTCGGCCCTGCCTGTGTCGAAATTGGGGGAGTCCGTGTCGATGCTCAACTCCAGCTTCACCTCTTTGTTTGCGGGCTTGAAGAAGCACTTGTTGATCCGGTGCTCGTTGGCGCATTGCTTGTGCTTCAGGGGGTATTGGAACAGGAACAAATTCTCTTCTAGTCGTTTCGAATGTATTATTGGTATCTGGAATTGGGTTTCTGCTTGTTTCTTTATTGAAATTTATAGTATACGAGCTCACCTCTTTTACAATGGGATCGTCGCTATCGTCGGTTTCCGATGTATTTGTTTCGTGCATGTTTTAATATATAAAAATAAATTATAAATAATGTTTTAATGGTAAGTTGTGAACATATTTTACTTTTTTTGAATGAAGTTTGTGACACTTGACAGTGACATGTGACATTACTGACAGCAGTCTCTTGCATTCATCGGCCTAGTTCTGTTTTAGTATCCAATTACACAAAGTAACAAATTTAAATGTTAAATTTTATTATATGATACGTTATCTTCGCTTTTAATTACATTAATCGTCTTTTATAATGGTAAGTTTTGAAGTTATTTAATTTTTTTAAATAAAGTTTGTGACACTTGACATTGACTTTACTGACAGTTGCGCTTCTAATGTTTCTTTGAACTTTTGCCTAGTTCTGTTTTAGTATGCAATTAATTCAATACTATTAGCTAATTAGCTTATAAAATAACACATTAATACTAAATTTCATCATCTGATACTTTATCGTCGATTTCAAGTTTATTAACCGTCGTTTTTATTGGTAAGTTTTGAATTTTAAATGTGAAAATTGTGACAGTGACTTTACTGACAGCTGGTTCTATCATTTTACTAGACTACTTCTATTTTAGTATGCAGTTAACTTATAAAAAAAACTTTATTGTACAATAACAAATTAAATGCTAAATTTCATCATCAGAAACATTATCGTTGATTTTAATTTCCATCTTCGTGCGTTTCACGAACTCATCGTATTGCTCAGGTATCTGCGCGAACCGCCTGATTTTCTGCCTGATTTGTTTCCACGTCTCTTGATTGTAATTCTTCTTATCCCTCTCCATGGCTTTGTAGTCGTCTCCATACTTTTCTACGAGATAAGTGATCCACTCTACATGCCCCTTGGGCAAACGGAACTTTTTCTCTCGAGGCGCCTTCGCGTCCTCCTCTAAAGCTTCCACTACATGAGCCTTCGAAACCACCGGCCCCTCTTCATCGTCGCTATTTTGATTGTTCATTAGCAGTTTCTTGAGGGTTTTCTTCGTTTGCGGAATCTTGATGGATTTATTCGGATCGTACGCCAGTCCCATTTCCTGTAAATTGGTTTTCATCGACTTCTTGTTGTCCCATTCCACTTTTACTTCTTTACTAAAAAATACAAGAGAATTAGAATTAGGAAATAAATGTTTTTAATGTAACTTACCATCCGATGTTGCCTTGTTTGTATATTTTATTCCTTAATCGTTTTCTGTTGACGTTGTGGTTGTATGTTTTGCGTTTTCTCTGCTTTCGTAATTTCGTCATTATTTCGTTTTTACGGTGAAAGAAAATAGAAATTGAAGCACAACTCGCAGATACAACGATTTTAAAGTGAGGTTAATTGACTCTTCGTTTTACTTTAAAATAGAATGGTCTTTTTCAACGAGTCTATTCAGTCACTGATTGACAGTCATTTTGACATTTGATTTCGAAAATTGCAACAATTTAATTACAAAACGGACTTTATTTAAAACATTAACAGCATTTGAATTTCAAAACATTCTGGCAACGCTCTATGTGGAGCATGATTCGTTTCTTTCTGTCCCTCAATTCGCTTTCGTCGCACTTTATGTCGCACAATTCGATCATCAACTTGATGAACTGCTCGTTGATGTCGTAGTATCGAAGGTTTTTTCTGCCTCCTGCGAAGAGAATCGCCTCGTTTTCGACCAATTTCACCCTCTTCTCCACGTCTAATAGGGAATTAAGAGTCTCGAGACTCCGGGGATTGGTTGGTTCAAAGACTCCTTCGCTTTCAATATCTCCTTCCAAGTCTTCATTATCCTTTTGAATATCACCATCAGTAAACGTGATTGTATATTCACCCATTGATTCGCTCAAACTCGGCGCTTTTCGTTTAATATCCCCATTGGATTTCTCTAGATAATTTCTTATGATTCTAATTAGTAAATAACTCGCGAACATTACCAACAAACTCACTAAAATCGCGAACAGAAACCAGTAAAGGACGTCGCTCATTTTGTATACTACAAGTTCTATTTGTTACTGAAAAGTTATTGCAGCTAAAAATATTATGCGAGTTGTAAATTTTTAATTCCAGATAAATTGATGATCGATAACGCATCGTTAATCCGGTATAAATATGTTGGCAATGAGATATAATTTAAGTCGATTGTAGATCTACTAAATGATTTGGGTGCGTTCTAAATGGTTTTAGATAGTTCCAAACGATTCTTGAGCGTTCTAAATGAATCTAGATAGTTGTAAATGGTTCTATATCGGGCGTTCTCAAAGGTTCTAAACAGTTCTAAATGTTAGTGGAGCCTTCTAAATGGTTCTAGGCAGCTCTTTATAATTTTGGAGCGTTTTACATGAATATGGAGAGTTCCAAACGGTTCTAGAGAGTTCCAAATGATTCTGGAGAATTTAAAATGGTTCTACTCATTTATGTTTACTAACCAAAAATGCACCACTCCCATTATTCTAATTTCTTTGCACAAAACTAGTGTTCTTTTAGCTTAAAAAAATTACAATTCAATAAAATTTTATAGAGAGTATAATAGAAATTTTCGCTTGTAATTGAACCAACAGTATCGCATGTTATTATAAATTCCGAAGTAAAAGAAACGATATAACTTCATGAATATTTACAATTCTGAATGAAGAACTTTGTAGGGTTCTTGGTTAGTAACTTAGTTTGGGAAAAGGAAAACGTGTCGATATAAGGATGCATTTTTAATATACCATAGCTAGTTAAATAAATTATAGTAACTAAACTGACACGCCGGAGAGTTAGTAGTTAAATTGGAAATAGTAGGTAATGAGTTGTAGTTATTCGCATTAAATCGAGCAATAGTCGGGCAAATAGGTAGTTTTACATAATAGGGAAAATGTATCGAACGCACCCGATAAAAGGGGTCGAGAAAAGGAAAGAAAACGGTCGGGATTCAGCGAAACTCGCGCACCACGACTTTCCATTCGGGATGAAACCGCCTCCCCCTCTCTCGTATTTACAGCCAGTCGGCCACCCCTCGGCACCCTCAAACAAGGCCTGGCCTACTATATTCCTTCTGAAATAAACTGTTCCTTTTTATACATAATTGTAGTGCTTGCAAAACTGGATTAACTATTTCAAATGTCTATTCGACTCTGTTGTGTTCTGTGGCATCTTTTTCCGTGATACTGTGAGCTCGATCTTTCTTAGCTTATTGATTTTTTCTTCTTTTTTGGCCGATTGATTTCGATTTCTAAGGTAACGAACAAAAATTTATGTTTCTGGTAGATGGATTTTTCTTTTTTTTTTTCCTCTTTATCATTTACCGAAATTTCTTCATTCGAAACGTATACAGACACACAACCATAACACACACCTTTAAATATTTCTACCTGCTAATTATAATAGCTGTATTTACAGATGTACCTACTATACTTGTTATTAACTAATATTAATTAACCTATACGAGGCGAGTGTAATAATTTATGAGATAACTTTTTAATTTTATTCTAATACGTTATGCACATAAGTGTAATTACAAACCGGCGTTTTTTTGAGTGTATTTGTCATTTAAAAAAACCAAAAAAATTAATTATTTACAAACTGTAATATTCGTATTGATTTTTTTGTTTATTTTTTGGTATTGATCTTTATTTCTAAGGTAACATGCCTTTATTATGTACTGCCAGACGTAGATGATCAATTCGGTAATATTAATGTAATGATCAGAAAAGTGCTTTGTACCAAGTCATGTGTTTGTCATTATAGGTTGATTCTCTCATGTTTAAAAATAGCTCTATTATAGAGTTTATTAATTACAATAAATTTTGTGCTTTGGTTACAATAAATTGTGGTAAATTTTTAATTTCATAAAAATATCCGAAGTAATAAGAAAATTATTATAGAAAAGTAATTCTTTCTAACACCCTGTAGCTCGAAAACTAAGAGGTTTAGGACATACTATATATTGATATAAACTTTCCTTCATTTAAAATGATCCAAATATTCACATCCTGATGTATCGACATTAAATTAATTAATACTCTGTATACGGATTTAAAAAAAAATCTCTTATCTGGTTTTTACAAAAAAATTGAATTTTATAACTCAAAATTTCCAATTGCCAATAACCGATTAAAATAGCATCTTTTATAATGCAATTATTTTAATCCAACCATTACACCAAAAATCTCTTCAACTCCCCCTTAAGATTATCCCTCATATCTACTTTTTAATCCCCCATTATTTTTGCGTTCGCCTAATTTCATGCAAAATTCATGACTTACTCATCGCGAACAAAACCCCCGCGTTTGTTCATCAAAATTATTATTACCCGTTCGAGCGCCTATTGTGCACAGAATTTCTCTGTGTGTGTGTGTACTCGCTCTCGTTTACCCGCACAAAAGAACCCCGTTTCATTTCTACTCTACCCGCTCATAATCGGTTTATCTTTGCATTAGCGAAATGAAGTAGCGCAGATTTTTTTTTTCGGATGGTCCAAATTGGTGTAGAAATGCGCATTGTAGGCTTGCCAGGTTTTTTACACCGTCTCTACAAATAATTCTACCTTCTTTATACGACCCCTTAGGAAATTTATTCGCGTTTTATGTAACCTAAATAGAGCTCTAGAGTCTATGCAAAGCAATCAATTTTTTCTACCCGAAAACACCTTATTAATAGGCCACCTTGTGCACTCATTAATGCATGCGATAATTCCGAACGTCCCTCGTAGATTGTATTTTTCATCTCTATATCGATCTACACCGGCTTTTTATTCTATTGCAGATTCCGAAGACGTCCATTCATCCGATCCCCGTTCGAATAGCAGGAGGAAAAAAAGCGGATAAAGCGGCCCATGAACGAGAAGAAAACAGGCCTAATCTCCTGCGGAAAAACGTAGATGACAATTCGTTGAGTAATGAAGTTGTGGCATGTGTTTCACGGCGATAAATCCGTTCTTATCGAGAGCGAGTAAGTTTACCCAATATCTCTATAAATATTCGATTAATCGAACGTTTCGATGGAGCGCCGAGTTGTGTAATTGTAATTATCGAAGAGCAGAAGGATTTAATTATAGATGTTGTATATCGAGGAAAAATAACGACGATGAAGTTCGGTAATTATGCTAGAGGGTCGATCGTTTAACCTGATTTTGAGCCCAGCCTATAAAACTCTTTCGGCGCTTTTTTTGTAGTCGATAAATTGATTTTTGTTGGTGTGTGCTTGCTCTGTTGATGCCGATTTCAGGTAATGAATTTGTGCGGGATTTGTGTGAGGTTTTTTTTTATTTCTCGATGGTGGGGAATTTTGGGGGAAATGTTGGTTATTAGAGGGATTTTTTGAGTTGTGAGTTAAGTTAAAATTCGTTAGATTGATCGTTGTTAAAAAGTGTACCTATGCATTTTTGAATTAAAAAATTGATCAAAAAACCAGTAAAAGTACATTAAAAATAGATTACAAATTGATCAAAGAACGGCGAAATATTGATCAAATATTAACTAAAATGAGATCCAAAAATTAACCAAAATTGATTAAAAATCGATTAAAAACTTATCAAAAACGACCAACAGTTGATCAAAATGACCGAAATGAAAATTTAAAAACGACTAAATTTAAACTCAATTAATTAAAATTTGGCCAAAAACAATCAAAAATTGAAATAAAGTAAAGCAGGCTAAAAATTGATCGAAAAATGACGAAAAATTGAACCAAAGTAGACCTAAAACTGATCAAAAGTCTACAAAAAATTGATCAAAAAAGAACCAAAAGTTTATCGAAAATCTACCAAAAATAAATCAAAATTTGACCAAGAAATATTCAAAATATCAATCAAAAACGACCAACAAATTGATAGAAAAATATTTTCATAACATCAGGAATATTGTTGTTCAATCAATTTACCCTTTAAAGAGCGTTAGATTAAAGTTAAAGATTTAATAAAAACAGCAAATTTCCAGGAAAATTTCCCCCGTTTTCTTCTTTCTCCACACGTTTGACTGACATTCCTAGCACATACGTCTTCTGCCGTTTTCTTCTTCGTTTTTAATCTCGTTTTCTAATATACCCTTACTTTATTGCTTTTCCTTCGAAGCGGCATTATTTTAGGTTTTCCCCGCAATTGGGTCACGTCTGCTATACGCGACTTCCGACTTTATATCTAGAAGGAAAAGCCCTTTCGCTGGCGCTTAATCTCTCTCTTAAATGTCAGACTTTGACCTATTTATTTACGATTTTTTCTTTTTAATTCACCGCGACATACGTGCGGGTTTTTCCATTCGTTGATAATTATAGTTAAAAATATACTCTCCCATACGCATTTAACGGGAAAAGGTTAATTAAATTATACTCCGTTCGCCATCAGGAGATAGTAATGAGGTTTCGTTGAAGCTATAAATGCAACAAATAATTAAAAAGTAACCAATATTTGCAGTATTTTACATACAAAATTAGGTTCTATTATATTAGTATATTCATACTTAATCCACTCATAATCAAGTTGTTTTAAAGTTAGATAATAATATTTTCTGATGATTCTTTTACTTAGTACACCCAAAGGTCTATAGGTTTCATCACCACCTCTTGATAGCGAACGGACTATAAAATCATGACCTGCCCTATATTTTCAAACGTAACCACGCACTTTTCGCCGATACCTTCAATGCCCTTTAACCCGTTCATGCGGCTACAATTATGATACCTACAGACAATTATCGCGGAGCCCTAACGGAATCGACCCTTGATATTTGCGGTGCAACTACCATCAACCCTTCCTGTGTACGAACAATGACGAAGGGACCCTCGAGATTCCCGCACACTCGCATATTGTCATGCATATTAAGAGGACGTTAATGTCACATTAGTTACGGGGGGAGGGCGTTGAAGTATTAAAAGCAAAGGAGGGACTTATCAAATTTTAAATTAAATCAACTATACGATGATTAAATGTGATATTTATACGGTTTTATTGAGGTTTTGAAACCAGAAAGAACGCTTCGGAAGCATTTAGAACTGTTTAGAGCGCTCTAGAAGCATTTAGAACTCTTAAGAACCGTTTGGAACGCTCCAGAATCATCTGGTACTGTCTAGAACAATCTATAATCATTTCCAAAGTCATTTAGTACTGTCTAGAACTATTTAGAACGCTCCAGAACCATTTAGAACTGCCCAGAACCATTTAGAACTATCTTAGAACCATTCAGAACGCTTCGATTCCTCGCATTAGAATGCCACAGTGCTTTTAAAAGCGATCTGTACAGAGAAAAGTACTTACACTTCCATTCGACACGCGAGGTTCGCGTGGGCGCGTTTATTCCGAATTACGTTATAAAATGTTACCGTAATTAACGTGAAAAAAAAACATTAAATAAATGAAACGGATGGGTGCGAACGTAAATGCGCAATTTTATTTTAACCTCTAATAAAAATATACGTTCACGGTCATCTCGAATTTTCCCAACCCACCTAGAGCTTTCACTAAAATTCCACTAAATCGAGGCCTCGGCAAATGGCACATGACAAATGACAAATGACACATGACAAATGACACATGACAAATGGCACATGACAAATGGCACATGACAAATGACACCTGACAAATGACACATGACAAATGACATATCACAATTGCCGTAGGTGTCACTGTTGCCAACCCACGGAGCGATTGTCTGGAATTGAATTTGGTCGAGTTTTAATGTATTCGTGTGGCATTTCTGAGATTGTCAATACAGCGAGCGATGTAAACAAAACCGAATTAAATGAATTTTCGACGTGTGTTCGGCATTCGCGTTAATCGCGGATTTAATTGTCGTCGTTTATCGAGAGCTGTTGACCATTTAAAACGTCACCGTTTAATCGGTTTGGGGTAAATAAGGTATATAGGCAAAGAGTAACGGAATTATACTCCGTTCGCCATCAGTAGTGGATCCTTCTTGAAATAGTTGAATTGTTAAATAACAAACAATTAGCTGTAATAATTACATCTTTAATTATACTTAATCGAACCACCCGTACTATTTTTCGCTTATAAAATACTATCGCCCGATAGCGAACGGAGTATAGATTGTTTCGAATTGACCGAAACGGATTTTTTTTTCTAACGAAATTTTACGGTACACGCAAAATAACGGCGGCAATCAATTATTTAAACTCCAATTTACCTATTTAAATATGGGTTAATGGCGTCGCGTCGCCTCGGCGTCGTGTCAATTGTAATTAAATACACCGTTTACCGGACGAATATGATTTTCATTGATTTGTCGCAAATTGGGAACTGCACAACCGTAACGTGATTTAGAAATATATTTGTAACGTTTATATACAGGAATGTCTGGATTCTGGATCGTTCTAAATGGTTCCAGACAGTTCTAGAATGTGCTGATTGGAGCCCCCTCAGTGTATCAGGCCGAGAACTGTTCTGCAACGAGATGATAACGCGCTAGATGAATGAATTGAGTGGAAATTGTCCATTCTAGACAGTTCTAAATGATTCTGGAGCGTTCTAAATGGTTCTAGACAGTTGTGGAATTAACTATAAAAGTCCCAAAGAGGAAACAAGAATGGAAACAAGGCCGAGAACTTTTCACCCTTCCCTCGTACTAGAAATTACACACAATTGAACAAGAAAAGCGTCCAAAAAAGTAAATGAAATAATGGAGTTTCATGCAGTCGACTCGCCGGGAGTTGGGGAGTTTTCCTTTTGCGTTTAGTTTTCACTGGCGATTTTCCGGCGCGTAATGTACCATATAAAACGTCTACGCGACGGTGGATTTTTTTTTTTTATTTTGGAACAATTCGGAGCAATTGTTGCGCGGACCTGTTGTACTCGGGAGTTTTCGTTCGTAAGGAAAAATCGCAAATAATAAAGGAAATACGAACGTACGGCGGACGAGGGAGTTATTATTGGGCTTCCGGGCGAAATTATGGCGGAGTATATAAAGTTTCGGGGTCCATTGTGAGCTCGCTTGTCGGTTTTTTTTTTGCGGTAAGAAAAATTAGAAGTTAGCGGTTAATTTATTTAATGTTTTTTATGTGGATAAATAATGGTGGTTGAAGGAAGTTTTTTTTTTTTTTTTTTTGGGGGGGAAAACTTTTGGAGTAATTTTCCTAATGTATTGAAGCTTATTATAGAGAGAATAATGTTGCACTTAGAATTTGGGATATTTTGAGTAGTTTTTTTTGTTACTTTAGTGATTTTTTAAGCAATTTTTGAATATGAATGGCCAGCATTGAAATGGAAATAAAATCCATGTTTTTTTCATAATTTTTAGTATATTTTTGGTTCATTCAGGACTAAAAATAATCCTCTAAGAAATGTTCTTAATAACTGAAAAAAACTACCTATTTTTAATATTTTTGTGGTTCATTCAGAACTCTAAAATAATTCCATTTTTAGTTGCTGGAAGCATTTCAAAATATACTTTTTAATTGCACAAATAATCCTCTCATAATTGCTCTTAACAATTCAAAAAACTTTCAAATTATTTTCTGAATTTCCTTATATTTCTCTAAGAAATGTCCAATACCTGAAAAAACCACCCATTTTTAATATTTTTGTGGTTAATTCAGAACTAAAATAATTTTATTCATAATTTTTTCGAAGAAATAAAAAATGTACTATTTAATTGCACAAATAATCCTCTCAGAATTGCTCTTAATAATTAAAAAAAAACACCTCTTTCAAATTATTTACTGAATTTCCTTATATTTCTCTAAGAAATGTCCAATACCTAAAAAAACTACCCATTTTTAATATTTTTGTAGTTAATTCAGAACTAAAATAATTTTTTCGAAGAAATAAAAATTGCACTATTTAATTGCACAAATAATCCTCGCAGAAATGCTCGAAATAACCTAAAAAAAAAACAACCCCATTGTAATATTTTCGCGGCTCACTCATTACTTTCAAACAATTCTATTAATAATTCATCGAATCATTTAAATTGCACAAATAATTCCCCTAAAACAACCCTCTT